CACTGATCATAACCCTAACCCAACCATACAGAGATGTGCTGATTTACGTTCAAATTTGGATCAGATACAGCCATAAAAAAAATAAAAGAGACACACATCGGAGAACATGACAGCTACTTTGTGTCTTTACTTTGAGTCATTTTAGTCATATACAGACAGAACCCTCCGGATTTCTTCATAATAAAGTCTGTCAACGTTGTTTACCCGCGTGCTTGTGTTAGTGCATGAACTGTACCGTGCCGAAGCACACCTCCGAAGCGTGCCATGGCCAAAGAAGTGTACTGTGCTTTAGCACGGTATGGAGCAGTCCCACTAGTCAAACAAACTGGACTTAAGGGATGAAGCATGCTTGGGCACGGTACCGCGCCCTTACATGCATTGTTGTACAATCTTTCCCGTTTATAAAATCTGCTCCTGTCACTATTTCAAAAAACATTGATGAAGAGGGAGCGAGACAATCAGAAAGAGGGGAGAGACAAGCAGCCTTGTGCAGAGAACAGAGGTACACAAAATTTAAATGTGGAAGCTAGGAATGACATCCTAACAGGGTTATGCTGTTATTCATAGAGTTTCAAAAAATATCGATTGACAGCCCTAATTTATGTACAAGAAATGTTTAGAAGTGAGTGTCTGAATTCATAACTTATAGGTATCATAAGCAGTACATTGCACTGGGCAAAGTCATTGCATGTATCACAATAACTAGCCCCGTTATAAGATTGAATAGTCTGTAACACTAAAAGTTTTGATGTTGAGGTAAAAAAGTGTGATGTGATTTTGGTCCAAGTGACTATGTCAAAGGTTTGAGCTAGTTTACTCTTGTAAGTCAGGTAGCATCAAAGCAGATCTACTGTAGTAGAACAGCTTGCTGTAGTGATGCTTCATCTTTAGGTGAAGAAACAAAAGCAGAAGACTAAACAAGCCTGGATGAAAAATGGTGATGGAGACACTTCAAACAGGTTATTAATCATTATTCAAACCTTTAGTATTAAACAGGTTTTGTATTATTGGGACATCCCCTTCCTGATCATCTGTGTTTAGTCCCAGGAATAGCTGAACCATGGATAAATGATTCCTAAGATCCTGTAGTTTGAATCCAAAATGAGTTCCTTTGAGTTTAACAGGTCAAAAGCATCGTTTCCTTAAATATAATCCATATCAACTTGTCATGATATTTCACCTCTTTTTCTTTGACTGTGTCTCATTTCTCGTCTGAATCATGATTTTAATGATTACGTGTCAGCCTGTTTCACTTATCCTAGAATAATTAACAGCTGACTTTATTTGGAGTCATCTCTTTATAACGTGTCTGGCTGAGATGAATTTTTTTGCGGCGCTGCTTCTGTCGTCTGATCGCTCTCTTTTTTTATCTGAACAAACTCTTACCACGGAAACAATCCACTCAAAGGGAGAATATAAACATATGAGCACAGCGACTGGAGACATTTTCAACTCTGTTGTTTCACAAGTTTTCCATTTATATTCAGTGCAACACTTTTAGTTGCATCTTTTTTCTTTTAGCTTGAATCTACTTTGTAATACTTTGGAGTTCTGCTGAGATGCCTGCTTTACTCAACCATTTTTTAAAGTACTTAACAAAAAGTTGGCCACTTCTGTTAAGAAGAAGTCAACAGCACTTTTCAGTTGTGAATCTTTTGACAACTTTTATATAAGCTTCTACGACACATCTGTGATGCTGTGCAAAACATAATACAAACTCCAAGCTGTCTTCTATAAAAGAGAGTCTGTGTTTTTATTTATTTATTCAGAAGACAAGTTATTACAACACGCACAATGTGACACAGAAGAACATCACAACAATAAAAAGCCTGGATTTAGAATCGGGAGTATCGTGAGTGAAGTGGATAATTAGTTCTTGCAGTATTTAGTATTTACAAGTCACAGTGCTGGTGTTATAAATAAGCAAATATACGTCTTTAATTAAGCTGTCTGGCCTCAAAATGTCAAGGTTTCAAGTACTGACAAAAAAGGATTTTAGCATAGCAGTATCAATGTTGAGCTACATTCTTTTTTCCACAGACTTTTTTATGTACGAACCAGCAAACACGTGATATATAGAGAGTGACTGACAAATTAAATGTTTATCTATGTAGGTTAGCAAATCGTGTTTTAGGATGGAGTTAAATAAAGTCCATTCCTCACAAATGTATTGGACCTTGTGGAAAACACACATTTTTAATTGAATTTGTAATATTTAATTTTACATACTTTATTAATCGCTGAGGAAAATTCTGGTTTTAAACTTTTTTATTGAGAGACATGCTTCTCACACAGGCCCCGAACTACACACATGCACACACGACCTGTGGACATGCATTAGTGGAGAGATGTCAGAGTGGGGCGGCTACACACTGCTACACAGGGAGCACACCAGAGCTGTTGGGGGTTTGGTTACTTGTTCAATGGCACATCAGCACTCGAGAAGTGACACTGCATCACTCCAGCTACCAGACCAACTTACATTTTTTTATGGTCCGCTCTGGGACTTGAATCGGCCCAACCCAGGTTCCTACTGACTGAGCTGCTGTCATTTGAAAAACAAGTAAAAACACAAACCATACACACACGTACTGTACACTACAACCAGTACAGCAAAATAAATGAATACACAAACAGACGCAGACATATACACAGCAACACAAACCTTGAACACGTAAGACCTTGAACAGGCATTTACCCAGACCCACTAACACTCACTGAGTGGATATCTTTATGGATGGGAAGTGCATTACACAATGCATCAGTCATTTTGCATGTGTTGTGGAGTACATCTGCTTATGTGAAACATTAATAATATAGAGCCTTTAATGGCTCCAGAGAAACTGTGTTCTATTGTATTTTATTAGCCTCAAATGATGTAGATAGATAGATATGTAGATAGATAGATAGATAGATAGATATGTACTGTAGATAGATATGTACTGTAGATAGATAGATAGATAGATAGATAGATAGATAGATATGTACTGTAGATAGATATGTAGATATATAGATAGATAGATAGATAGATAGATATGTAGATATATAGATATGTAGATAGGTAGCTAGATAGATAGATATGTAGATAGATAGATATGTAGATAGATAGATATATAGATACGTAGATATGTAGATAGGTAGATAGATAGATAGATATGTAGATATGTAGATATATAGATATGTAGATATATTGATAGATAGATAGATATAGATATATAGATAGATAGATAGATAGATATGTAGATATATATAGATAGATAGATAGATAGATAGATAGATAGATAGATAGATATATAGATATATAGATAGATAGATAGATAGGTAGGTAGGTAGATAGATACTTTATTGATCCTGAGGGAAATTCAAAGAAGAAAAAAGTGAGTTAGAAGGAAATCAGCCTACTTATCTCTGTTACTCTGCTGCTAGCATAACATTCAGGACTATCCTGTGTCAAATATATCCACCCTCATACTACTGCAATGCTATTAGTTGAGAACTCTTTTATTTCTTTTTGTCATATTTTCACAGAATCTCTGATGCACACCACTGCCCGAGGACCATCTGCTGTAAAATCAATAAAACATTCATTCTAATTTAAAATTTCTAGATTTTATTTTTCAATGGCAACCCTAAACCTGATCCATCCATTCATAATTTGTCAACTGCATTCAAGGATCATTGACAAAACGATGTTAATGCTTTGGTGGAATCAACCATCACAGATAGTTTTGAAATAAAAATCTCCACCTTTATTTCCAACTCAGTAAATTCAGTTGATCTGAGTGGAGTTCATCTCCTACCTTACACACTTTCTTACATCAACATTCTCTCCCAGTGATTTCACACCTACCGTTCTTTATTTTTCTGAGCCGGAGGACGAATCTGTGAGGAAAAAATATCAGTGTGGAAATGTACTACAGCAGCAACATGCTGCGGGTTTCACAGTGAAGGCACAGTAGCGGACATTGTGTCCTCCTCCTCCTCCTCCTCCTCCTCCTCCTCCTCCTCTCCAGCCAAATGCTTCACAGAGACTCTCTCAGGCTTTAATTCTGCCAGGGGCCTGATGGTTGTGGACGGACAGAACTGCCTGTTTTTAAAGGTTTTTTTTTCTTCACTTACTGGCTCTCTTCTCCTGCCAGCAAACACATTCAGAGGCAGCATTTTGTGATTGCACGTTCATATATCTGTGTGTGTCACTACGCTGCTTTCTATGAAACCATTGTTGTACCCAGGCTGATGATCAGCAGCCCTCCCCTTCATGTTTTTCAGACCAGATTCAGACCATGAAGTGCAGCCAGCACAAACAATTAAAGTCTCGCCCACTGTGATCTTAGCTTTATTCTTTCATTATGGATCAGCATCAGCAGGGGCCCTAATTAGTTGTGTTGGCTAGCTGTGGAAATGAATGGGCAGTGATGTGACTGTAGAGCTGAAACAGGAGTCCCTGGGGGTCCCGATGAGCCGGCTTCTTGAGTCAGTATTGGCAGGGAGTCACTTTTTCTGATTTCCCATGTATTTACAGCCATAAGCTCGCATCTGTTTGTTCACACTGACTCCTGATTGACTTTCCCTGTTGCTTCAGGCCATATTATCTGGTTTGTCAAGTTATTTTCAGTCAAATTTAAACGGGGGGGGGGGGGGGGGCATCAGGTTATCATAGCCAGGGATGCAATCATGATCCAGTATGTTTTCTGAATTAAAAAATAGCTTTTAAGGGCAACCTTTTGATATCCTTCTATTTTACACTTCCAAAAAAAGTCACAGCCAGTTTCTTAAAATCACAAACTTAGTCTCTTTTTTTACACATAGCTCTTCAGTTTCAACCTGTGCTCCGACATTTATATTGCTGTACTTATCTGCTGCTCCCCTTTTCTTTCTCTCTTTCTCTCTCTCTCTCTCTCTCTCTCTCTCTCTCTCTCTCTCTCTCTCTCTCTCTATCTCTCTCTCTCTCTCTCTCTCTCGCTTGCCCTGATCTGTGTCTCTTGTCCTGTGTGTTGCAGCTGGGTACAGAGTGGACTGCTCCGGGCGAGTTCAGCAAGTTCAGGTCCCAGTCCTCCAAGTCCGTGCAGTAAGTACCTTTGACAACCACACACACATTTCTTAACAGCACAGTTATTTGCCTCTCAAGTCAGAACAGAGACCAAAGGAAGGCCTGGCCACAAATAAATGCCACCTCTGGAGCTTCTCTAAGCACTGGTCTTGTGGCTGTTATCAGTGTCTCTCCACCTGTCCACTTTTAACAGTAGGTAGCAGTCTGTTCCCATCATGGTCTGTACGTGGAGCAGTTATCATAGTGTACAGAAATTGATGACTCAAGTGTTCACTGGTGACTTGAAATCAGAAGTATTCTCTCCTTTATATGTGTACGTGTGTGTTTTCTCTCTTTCTCATGACATGACATGATGCGCTCTCAGCTCTCAGAGTATGGATGATCATAGCAGTCTAAAGTCCTCTTCCGCTAAACGTAACATGAGACCTATCAGCTCCTAGCCGATGCATAAAAGCAGCCTTCAGTTCGAGCGCTGATCTGCAGCCAGTTTGCTTCTAAAGCCATTGTTAAGTTGATATGATTTTGCAGCGAGGGAAAAAGGTCCTGAAGAACGGGGCTCATTTTCTTTTGGGCTGCGGCATTTGCCGGATTGGATGGTGCTGCAGAGTGCTGCCTTAAATTATTTACACACACACTGATAATGTGTTTGTTATGAACATTCAGAATATTCAAGCGCCTCTAATCTGTGCCAGTTTAATGAGGACACGAGCAACACAAAAAGAAACAGGATTTGTGTAAAATGTAGAATAAATGTTGAACATTATGTCAGCTTAATGCAGCGGATCATGAATAAAATGTGCCACACTATTATCATTATCATATCATAGGTTCATTAAAAAATACAACTGGTCAAAGCATGCACTTGGTGTTATTAATATAACGATGATAAGAAGATATTGTGTTTCCCACTGTGTCACAATGCACACACAGTATGACAAATCAAACTTAAGTCACATGCAGGGCATTTTACAGATATATACTTCATTGTTGTTTAATATCAAAAACACAACTTTCGGTTGGAAGTCTCCATTGCTCCACAAAATGTGAATGTGGCATGCACACAGATATATGTATATAGATTTATACACATGAAATAACAAAAATACAATTTGAACAACAGCCACAATGCTGAAAGCTATATTTGCATAACTGTGAAGTGAGAGTGAGATTATTTTTTTTATTATTTTTTTTGCTTTTTTGGACTTATTACTGTTCTACTGTGTTTATACAACACCCTTATTATCTGATTTTATTATAAAGTACTTGAATTAATAGTTTTTTCAAATGCCAGTGTTGCTCATGCAGTAATATGAAAAAACAAAGCCCATAGAGATATCCAGAAAACACATAGATATAATATAAAAGCACAATATTAAAAATAGAATTAAAATAGTTTAACTAATGTTAACTTCATTTTTCTGATGGCAAAGGACACAAAATAATCTCAGTCTTACTGTTTTGGAATTCTGTTTGCCAAAGAGACTGTGTCCGACCACAACAGCGGGAACTTCCCTTGTTGAATGTTGTGAGGATCCTTAAATTAGTCTTACAGGCTGTTGACCTCTTAATGTACGGGTCCTCCTGCAGGGAGACGAGTGGATCTTCACAAGTGGGTCATCCATTCAGCGTTTGCGGATACTTCAGAATCATTCATTACTTAATGTGATTATTTCATCATGACATGGTGAATTATGCTCTTATTGATTTAACCCCCAACACAGTCAACCAGCCTTTCACATCAGCAGGGTCGAAACAAAAGAAACTAGTTACCGTTACTAGTCCATCCTCTCCGTCTTTTGCCTGCTCCACTTTTCAAAAAATGTGTGCTCAAACAGGCCGTTTGGAGATGTTCCCTTTGTGACATCACAAAAGGCAATAACCCTTCCCCCAGGTGGATGAGACTCACACAGCTAGCTGTTTTTTCTGAAAGCATGAGCCAACCAAGCCCTTCCAGAGAGGGGGCGTGGTCAAACACAGCTCATTTGCATTTAAAGCTACGGACACAGAAACAGCCTGTTCTGAGCAGGGCTGAAGAAGAGGCATGATACAGGATAACAAGAAACTTCACAGACATGTTTTGGAGAGCTCTGAGATTTATTTCAACTTGTTGAAAAGTAGTATAATATGTGACCTTTAAAATCAATCCCAGGTTGTTTAGATGGAGTGGCTCCTCCTTGGTCTGCTAAGTTGAGCTGGGTCACTGGTGTGTGCAGTCTGAAAAGTAACTAGATACATGACTAGTTACTGCTAATAGTAGTGGCTTTACTAAATAAAGCGTTACTCCCAACACTGGGGCTGCAGAATATATTTTGGAAGCTTTGAGTTTTAGGACTAGAGTTAAATTTATTTATGATCCAACTCAAAAATATGAGACTTTTGATCCGAACACCCCAGGGAGTTTTATCAGTTTACCTTTTAAATGAAAAAGGGCTTCGTTAAGGTATCCACATCTCTCTCTTGAAAAGTGTAAACTAAGTTAAATGTTATGGTATTATTTTGGTTCTTAAAAACTGATGGAAAGCGTGAAAGTAATACAAATAATTATATATATATATATATATAAAGGTATCAAAATCTAGTAACAATTGGTCAAGATATAAACACAAAAGTAACAGAAATTGAAAAGAATACTTTATAATAAGCATTTCTCTGTAGCCTGTTTAAACAGTTGTTTATGTAATCATGGTATGTTAATATAAGTCCCCCATATCATTCAAGAGAGACCACGAGTCCAAAGTTGTTGAAATAAATGCAATGACACATTTAATATGTTACAATTCACTTAGCAGACGCTTTTATCCAAAGCAACATTCATCAGAGAGTAAGTACAACACTAATCCATTTATACACCGCCACTGAAGCAATGCGGGGTTAAGTGTCTTGCCCAAGGACACATCGGACATGTTGCTCAGCTGGGGATTGAACCCTCGACCTCCCGGTTGAGAGGTGACGACTCTGTCAACTGAGCCACAGCCGCACTGGCTTGTTGCATATTGAATGTTTTATTGAAATTATTGTATGATTGGGACATTGCTTTGAATCCAGTTTGAATCACTTCATCCCTCTCAGGTCTTATCTTTCTATTTCTCATACTGTATAATCCTTTTTGAATCAGTATATATCCTTCTGATAAGTATAAACATTCAATACTCTGATAAAACCACATATATAAGAAACACACTGTCATCCTTTTTTAAAAATTAGTTAATGTTGTTAACTGTTTGTTATTGTCAGTGCATTGGATTAACCATGCCTGGGTCGCACAGCAGGCACACCAGGCAACAACGCAGCACATGAAAACGAGAAGAGAAGAAGTAGAAGAGAAATAGAGGAGATTCAGGCGGGAAGTTTTTTCTATTTTCTCTCCATGTCTGATAAGCGAGTTGCGTTCTGTTTGACAACAAGAAGACAGCATGACAGAACAAGGAGGTAGAATGTGACAGGCAAATGAAAAAGTCTTTTCTGGGAGAGATTTGGGTACGACACTGTGTGTTTTTTGGCCTGATACTTTGTCTTTTCGGTATAGTGCGTGTTATACTTACGCAGTTTGCATCCACATATATGTTGAAGGATAGATTTGAAAAGCTTGGGCATGTTACTGTAGCAGAACTGTTTACAAGAACATGATTTTATTGTGCGTTGTCACCCAAATAAGATCTCATTCCCCTGACAACTCATACACCAATTGTTGCTCATTACTGTTTTAATTTGACTTCATTTTCTATCCTGATCTGTAAAAAGATGCATTACTCCTGCTGTCAGGTTATGAAATATTGTGCATCAGAGATGAAAAGGTTGGGAGAGCTGTTGGGTTTTAGGAGCAGAAGTGGCTAATGATTGAAGTCAAATCTGTTTTTATTTTACAGATAAAAAACTACCACATGCTTTTGGGGAGCCGTGTCAAAAGCAGCGTGAAAGTGTAGCTTAAGATAATGAGACACAATCTAGTTTGATGTGCCTGTGTGTGGGCGTGCGTGAGAAGATCATATTCATATTTTTGCATGCGAGCTAATTCTTGCCTCTGTGCATTAATCTGCACGGGTTCTTTTAATACCGTGACATTTAGAATCCCTCTCTGCGTCTGATGACTCTACTGGAACATCCCACAGCACGGGGCTGTTTATTTGTCATCTTGCACATGTTCCCTCTGCAGCACGGTGCAACATGCATCCCTACTCGACCTGTTTAAGGCAAATATGCTCCTGAGCGTGCTTAATTGTGTGTGCAGCAGGATAAATTGTTATGCATTCATAAATAAGGTCTTTAAATGAGATGGGATAGAAATTAAAGAGCAAATTAGACGTGCTGACAGATAGCAATTCCTCACAATAAATGCATCAGGGTAAGAGCACAGCAATAATAATAAGCCATTAGGCAGTCTTTAATACCCAGTAATTTGAATTATTTGCACAAAATAAAGAAATACATCGTCAAAATATAAATGTATTTTTAGTAAATGCACTGGAGGCTATTAATCATAAATCCTTTATTCAAGTAGACATTTGAGACTTTTGCTATTCCACCACAAAGCCGTCATTTAAAGCAGCTTGAACAGTGTGTGTGTGCTAGTGTCCCTAGTTGTTATGATATTGGACCCAGAACAGGGTGAAATGGGACAAGGCTGCGGTAGAACAAAGCATAAAAGAATGGAGCTGAATGGTGCAGAGCAGAACACAACCGAACAAAGAAGTGTAATTGAACAGCAAAATGAAGCACAACAGGAACTCCTGCTGTGGCTTGTTTTTTTTTGTGTTTGTTTTTTCTGTCATGCTTTGGACTGCAGTTATTTATCCGTCTCAGTCCATTGGAGCCGGACGGCCGACTGTAGTAGAACTGAGTGAACAGTGACTAATGGCTGCTGCAGTCTTGAATCATATTGTCAGGAATTGAAATTGTTGTTGAGGGGTTCACTTGAAACACTTCACTCGCCTGTTGGAGGCCTCCATGTGATGCAATCAGAGGCTACTCAAACCAGCAATATAGAGCCACACACCCACACACAGATGTACACACCCACG